CTTCACCCACCCACCACCACCAGCGGAGGGTGCCCCTGCCCAGCCTCCCCAGACCTATCAGCAAGATGTTGATGTCTCCTCGGATGCGGCTCCCGTTCTCCAGGACCTTTTCCACCCCTCCCAGCAGCATGCAGAGAATGGCCTTCTTGATGTACTCGTGCCCGTGGATGCTGGGAGCCAGGGATCTCGCCAGCTGGTCAAAGATGTCCTAGGGCAGAAGAAGCAAGCAGGGTCCATCAGAGGGACCGTAGCAAATCAGAACAAGGAGCAATACTCCACAAGTCCATCACAGCACAAAGAAAATGCAGCTTTAGGTTTGAAGAGGAAAGAGGAAGATGGTAGAAGGCCTGTCTTCTAGATTGGACTCCAATACCTTGGAGCGACTCTTGCTGAATCTCTTGATCTTGGCCACATCAGAGGCAGAGTAGAGAGGCCGGACGTCCTTGCTCATCTGCTTCACGTGGCAGGCAATGAGGATAGTCCTGGAGAAGGTGCCAGGGGAGGTTTAGGTTGGACATTGTCAAAAAGCTCTTCACCAAAAAAGGGTTGTCAAGCCCTGGAAGAGGCTGTCCAGGGAAGTGGTTGAGCCACCATCCCTGGAGGGGATCAGAAGAGGAGCAGATGTGGTGCTGAGGGACGTGGGTTAGTGGTGGACTTGGCAGTGCTGGGTTAACAGTGGGACTCCATGATCTTAAAGGTCTCTTCCAACCTAAACATTCTGACTCTAAGGGACACAGCCACTACCAGGTCTGCAAACCCCACAGAGCTTACAGGTCACACAAACACTGCTGCAGAAGCTTCCCCAGGGTCATCCTTGGATCTACAAAGACCTGGAGGGGTCTGGAAAGCTCAAAGAGCTGTAGCTCCTTCTATCTACTGACATTGGGCCATCAATGGAGCATCTTTAAGAGCCTCCAGCCCCACCCTGTGCAGAGCTGGAGCTCACAGCTACACACTGATGCTAAGAAGCAAGGTGCAAACCACTTCCAAGGGATGTGGCCTGACTAATTGGGGTGGGAGGGCCGAAGTCAAGACAGAAGAAGGCTCACCTGAAGGTCCCTGAAGTGTAACCCCCCTTCTTCCCTGGCAGGCAGCGGTATGTCCCCACCACCTGGACGCGGTCCCCAGGCTTCACCTTGTCCACCAGGTCATCATCCAGAATGACATCCACCGAGCGTGGCAGCTGCCCTGCTGGTGCCTTCTCAGGCATCTCCTGGATGGTGATGGTCTGATGGTCCTTGTAGACTGAGAGGCCGAACTCTGTCTCCAGAGGGTTGTTCTCTTCATCCTAGAGAATAAAGAGATTAGCACCATTCTGCAGGAGCAGAGGGAGATGAGGTGGGTCAGCTGAGCATGGGAAGAGAGGTTGCATCAGCCAGCATGGACAAGACAGCTGGCAAGGGTTGCTTTATGTGGTCTGCCAGAGCCTGGGGTTCACCAGCTCCACAGCCCCCCCAGTCTAAAGCTGCCAACACCCACTACTGCTCAGGTCCCTCCAAGCCCTGTCCCTACTGCAGGCAGTGGTGACACACCCACCATGCAGCAGGCCATGGGGACAAAGCTCAGGTCAAACTTCCTCCATTCCCAAATGCAGGGCAAATCCTCTGCAGGCACACCCATGCTGACCTGGGTCCCTGGAGCAACCAGACCTGCTGGCAAGCACCCAACAAATTATGCTCCAAAATCATAACTATCATCTGAAGCAGCAGCTTTGGTGGTCTTGTGTCCAGCAGAGACTTTCTTCATGTGCTCCTAGTAGCTGTCTGGGACTTTGATACGTGTGATGTGTCTTCTTGCTACTCTACAGGGTACGTTGTAGAGAAGGGATGGGTGGGATTTGAGCCCTGGGCTTGGAGTTGGCACCTTCTCCCCAGAGGAGGCTGCTGATGCTGCTTCACCTCACCTTTGTGGGGTAGATGGAGCTGGATGGGAAGGCATCCAGGGAGGTCAGGTCCGTGTAGCGGCGCTCAATCATCTTCTTGGTGGCCGGGCAATAGTGGACACTGCGGACGATCTTCGGGCGAACCAGGGAGCCTGGGGTCAGCACAAGGAGGAGTTGGGGCAGGGATGTCCCACCCCTGTCAGCACAGGGTCCCCAGGGCTCATCTGCACTCAGCACACAACCCACCACCACGGCCAGCTCAAAGACAACCCCAAAACTCCAGACCTGCCTTTGTCCGGGTTGCCCAGATGGGTCCTGAAGGGACTCCAGCCTCTCCACAGCAAACACCTGGACATCCCCCCCAAAACCCTGCCCCAGGCTCACATTTGGTGACGATGCCCTCCACGCAGACAATGCAGCTGAGGAAACAGGCCGTCAGGGTCCGTGGGGACACGTGCTTGGAGCCAAAGCTGCCCTCCAGCCCGATGTAGAAGTCCTTGTACTGCTTGGCGTAGGTGGCATCAACAGAGGCTACAAAATCCTTCAGGGCACGTTGGAAGGCAGTCAGCTCCTCAAAGGCATTGCTCAAGAGCCTGCAGCACAGGGAAGTGACAATGTGAAGGTGACAAGGTGACACCAGCCCCTTTCTGCTCTCCTCCTCCACGTGCTCCACAAGCTTACTAGGAGCATGAGGCTGGAAGGGATGGCTGCCATGGGGGAAAAAGAGCAGCTCCACCTTTCACGTGGGACCTGGTCCACAGGACAAGGTTTGGCCCTTCCTTACCCCAAAAGGGCCACCAAAACCAGGGCTGGGGCTCTGAGAACCCGCCCAGGGCAGAGTGGCAAGGAGAAGGCAGGTGCCCCACACTGACCTGCTGGCCCTCTTCTCGTTCTTCCGCCGCAGGTCGTTGATGCTGACGAGGAGGCGATACTGGTTGTCACTGATCATGTCCCGGACCCTGCTGTGGTAAACCCCCTGATCTTCCTGCAGCAAAGGGGTGGGGGAAAACACTCCACTTCAGTGGCACTGACAGTGGGATCAAGGCACCCTCAGCAGGTTTGCGGATGACACCGAGCTGAGTGGTGAGGTTGACGTGCCTGAGGGAACAAATGTCACCCACAGGGACCTGGACAAGTTCCAGAAGTGGGTCCATAT